GGTCATCTGTTAGGGAAGAGAGAAATAGAAGAGTGGTGGTTGAAAGAGAATATGGTGAATTCGGCGGTGGATGAGGGTGATGGTGATGCGATTATCATTGATGTCAAATGTGGTAATGACTGGTAAAATTTTGGTGATGACGTATGATGGTGTTTTGGAGCGCTTTAGAGAGAGGATAAAGATTGAATAAGTTGTTACAGTGGAAAGGTATCACCGCGGTGGTGAGCATCGATGGTGGTGGTGATTAGGTGGGGTTGGTGAGGTACGGGGTAGTGATGGTGGCTGGTAATTACGGTACCAAAGATCAACGAAGACTGGTGTGTGGGGGAGAAGGAAAGAGTTGTTGGTGGCTTCCGCTTGTTGAAACCCTAGCGAATGAATCGACAGTGAGAAACAATAGTAGCAATAGAAGTCTGAACAAAAGTGATTCAAAGAGACCGATGGCGGAGAAATTGTAACATCCGGATTTCCAGGTATCATAATTTAAGTATTTATTTTGAGTTAAGAAGAGGGACTCGACGAGTTGACGCCTAAACTCGTCGAGTAGGATCGCGACTGATGACTCGGATTAATGAATGGACTCGACGAGTCCGCGCTGTGGACAGAAACCCTAAATCTTTGGGACTGTGCCCTATTTAAGGGTCCTTATGGCCTTCATTGGCGGCCACACACACACTTGAGAGACCCTAACGAACCAGAGAGCATAGAGAGTGAGGGAAGGAGCTAATTACACCACCATAGTGCATTCTTGCAAGGAATGAAGGGAGATTCAAGCTAGGCTGCTTAGAGGGGGCTCAGAAATTCTTCTATTTCATCAAAGGCTTCTGTTTGAGGTAAGAATTCATGCCTATTTTCGTGTATATAGTAGATTTCTGGAATCTAGGGTTTCTTTACCCCCTTTTTGTTGAGATTATGGAGCATGGGGAGTCCCATTGAGGCATATGACATTAGATTTGGACCTTGAGAGGTCTAGAGAGTCCCAATCATCCAGCTTTATGCAGTCCCATTGGAGTTTTGAGTCTAGGTTGTCATTTTAAGGGCTATTTCTTCAAATAGGGCTTGATGTGTGGTGCATGGACATAAAGATTGAACCTTTACGTGACTTTTGGGTGTTAGAAGGCCAGATCTATAAGTTAGAGAAACAGATCTGACCTCAGAAGGTCAAATAAGTGTTACCATGGAGGAAACCCGCCGAGTCCATAAGAGGACTCGACGAGTCGGATCGGGTTGCCCCGCGATTCGTGATCAGTGGTAACCCGTCGAGTGAAAGGTTAACTCGACGAGTCGAGTGAGGCCTTAGGAGGATTTAGAGGACACACATGGACTCGCCGAGTCACCCGAGTGCACTCGACGAGTCTGGTCCAAGTTGGACCGTTGACTGGAGTTGACATCAGTTGACCTTGGGGGTTTGGTCAAACTGATTCATGAGAGGCCATAGAAGGGTAGAATGGTCTTCTACCCATTCTTTAGAGATGAGAACATGAGGAGAGTATTGATTAGAGATATTATCATTTTGATAGGATGAGGCTAGGTCGGGGATATCGAGCACGAGAGTTTACTAGACATCGTACGAGGTGAGTCTTCTCACTATACATAACCTAGAGTGGTATCTATGTGCAGACCGGAGGGTCTTATGTGTTATGTGTATGTTTGAGATTATGTGCATTGTGATATATGTATGCTATGTGTTATATAGACCGGACCGGAGGGTCCAACGACTTACGAGGCCAGAGGGTCCTCGAGTAGACCGGACCGGAGGGTCCAACGAGCTAGACCGGACCGGAGGGTCCAACGAGCTACGGGACTGGAGGGTCCCGCTGAGACACATTGACCGGAGGGTCATACCGAGTTATAGCCTCGAGTGGCTTATGTGTTGTATGTGGTATTTTGGGGAACTCACTAAGCATTTATGCTTACCGTGTTATGTGATATGTGTTTCAGGTACTAGCGAGGATCGCGGGAAGGCGCCGGCATGATTTGTACACACTGACAGAGGATGTTGTATTTGAGATTCTGGGATATGTTTTACCGTGATAACATCTGATACACTTGAGTTTTGAGATGATTTATATGAGATATGTTATGTTTGAAAAAGGAAAAAAATTGTTTGAAAATTTACGTCGTTACAGAAATGAGAAGTGGTAGTAGGGATTTTGATATCATAGTGGTTCTATGGTGGCGGTGAAGGCGAAGATGGTCAGTGAAGGCGTCATGGTGAAAGTACAGATAGTGGTGACAGTCGAAACAATAACGGCGATGAACGAAGCAGAAGGTGATAGGTGCCCTTCTAGGGCTTAAAAGTGACCTGAAATGGAAACCATCTGCAAATTGAATGAATTTAAGAAGACAGGGGCGAGATAACATGATTTAAGTTTGAATGTAACTATAACTCCTTAAATTATGATATGAATCAGTATTGAATGACACTATAATTCTTATCTTTACTTTTTTACTTATTGACCGATTCAGTATTTTTTAATGCTTAAAATGATTGTAAATAATGCAATAAGATTTGTACGAATTAAAATTCAACATTTGACTAAATATGTTTTATAAGGTATTATATATATATATATATATATATATATATATATATATATATATATATATATATATATATATTCAAGATCAAATAAGAAGTAAAATTTTGGTAGGAAGGGAAGAAGTTTTTTTTCTATATATTTTTTTAGCGAACAAACAAAATGAATCATTAGATGATTGATTTTTAAGATGATTTACAAGAAAAAATTCTCAAAAAAACATCTTCATGAATCAATTTTAAGTAATTAAGAAAAAAAATTCACTTTTATGACAATTTTAGTGAATAACAACAAAATAATCGTATAAATGAATCATCGATATGTTTTTTTGAGAATTTTTTGAATCATGTTATTTTTGATTCATCTAGTGATTAATTTATTTTGTTCGTCAAAAAATATGTAGAAAAAAAACTTCTTACCTTCCTACCAAAAAAAAAATTTCTTACCGGATCCATATATATATATATATATATATATATATATATATATATATATATATATATATATATATATAAAAGAGTTATATGGAAAACAAAAAAACCCTAAAAATACATAAAAAGGCATAAAAAAATACTTTGAGATCACAAATCTTTTTTTTTTAGTTTATATTCTTAAAAATCGCAGGTTTTATTATAAATATGCTGGAAAAAAAATCGATTTTTTTTTGGTTTTTTTTTCAAAAAAAATTTCAGCTAATTTATATTAAAACCTGCGATTTTTAAAAATATAAACTCAAAAAAAAGAATTTGTGATCTCTGAGTATTTTTTTATGCATTTTTGTGATTTTTAGGGTTTTTTTTTGTTTTCCATAGAATCTAAACCTATATATACATACTAGTGATGTACCCACGCAAAATGGCAGGGAAAATAATTACTTTTGGCGATAAGATTTTTTTTACAAAAATGTTATGCTCCAAAGAAATTATAATTGCAAAATACCGAGATTCTACCAACTCTTATAGAGTGAAATGGAACTGAATGTTGATCATTTGTTTGAGATGATATATGATATAGAAGAGATGATATGGAACTGAATGATTGGCTCAATCATTTTCATAAATAAATCAAAAAAGTAGGAGGTGTGTTTGAGGTAAGTTGGTCTTATTTATCTAAAGCTTCCACAAAGTATACATATGTATTTACTATTTAACAATTAACAATACCTTAAAAAATATCACAAAAGGTTTAAAAAATAAAAAATAATAAGCTTTATCAAAATATTGTCAAAATGTAAAACATATATACTACACGATTGATATATTAGAATAATATAAAAAATAGGATAGTTCGAATTGGTAGTTCGTTTTCAAATAAAAAAACTAACTGTTAATCAAACTGTGTTAAATTCGGGTATGGATAATTCGTGTATTAGGTCAGGTTCGGGTATATCGGGTATTACACAATATAATTGCTAAAAATTAAAAGTAAAAAAACACATATTTCTTAAGATATTTAAGATACCCAATTAAAATAAAATTGCAAAAAAAAAAAATAAATAAAAAATTCTAGATCCATAAACAAAACCCAACGAACCACATTTCTCATATGCTAAATCCTAACGATAACAACAACGGTTTGGCGCCACATATTTCATATAGCATTATATTCATATAATCTAACATATATACACAGGGAGCGTAAGTTCTATTTGATATGATTATATATACATAATTTATGTAGAAGAGAAATTATCATTCTAGTCGTCCAGTAACTTTTCTAATAGATATAGAAATGAAGTTGACAATATCAAACGCAACCGACTTTATATTTAACGAGTTTTCCCCGTCAGAAAATCAACTGAGGAGGTCAAACGAAGAATGTATCTAAACTCATTGTAAAAGTTATCCTACATTTTAATCTATCCCACTTCATATAATTCCATAAAACATCTTTAACCAAAGAACTTCGATTTCAAAACCAACTCCTGCACAATTGTATCATATGTTCAAAGAATCGACTCAGAAACTACTCATGCATCAGTGTTTATATTTTAGAAAAAATTTGAAATTAGAAAAATATGGAAAACAATGATTATCAGTTTTCCAAAAATTTCCAACTTTTTTGTAATTTTAGAAAACGAAAAATTTTCATTTTCCGTGAAAAAATTAGAAAAAATAAACGAACTAAACGCGTTTTCAAAATTCTCATTTTTCTTGGAAATTTTTTCCGAAAAACGACCAATTTTTCCGCAACTAAACGCACCCTAAGCAGCTAACTCGGAGATGGTTCTCCATTTTGGTAGACACTGAAACTCCTTGTCTTGCTTACCCCCTCCTAGCAATTCCATCCCTGATTGAAGCCCCAAAATATTAGAGCTTCAGACCCACGCTTATGAGGAGCCACTGCCCTTATCAGATGAGCCACCAGTAATGGTTGCGTATAAATAAGTTATTATATAGTTGAAACATCAACAACAAAATAACTAAAACATTGTCAATGAAATAATAACAATAAATTCGTATGCCAAATTAAAAATGTTATATTCTCATTATTTTTGAACCATGTGACAAAACATCTATTATAAAGTTGATAACAGAACGAGCAAAGAAAAATGAAAAATCTAAAATTGGATTCAATGATAATCTGAAAATTGTACATAATTTCCAGCTTAGCTTTGACCTCGCCATGCCCAATGCCCAAATACTAAATAAACTAAGCTCTGGCTCTACCTGAGAAATGCCAGGGGACCCAACCCAATCCTCAGAGGCTTGTTTCTGTTTCTATGAGGTACAAAAATATTTATATATATAATAATATAATAATGTTGTCCATTTTGGAAATATTATCATGTTTTTCATTTCATGTACGTTTCACTTCACTGTCTATTTGGATGGAGGACGTGCTCTCGAGAACACTGAACTTATACCCGAAAATGTGCGCCCAAAAACCCGAGAGCTTGTACTTCCATCTTCCGTAATGTTTATGTTCAGCCCCTGTGTTGGACTCTCTACTGCCTTCTCTTGGAAAACCTGCATCGTCATATTCATTCCCAAAACACTCAATAAATTTATAAATCAATAAATAAAAACTTTTTTCGTTGATCAGAAATTACCTTCAAACCAGAGGCAGAAACAGCTGTTTCCAAAGGTCGTTTAGCCTGAAAGATGGAGACTTCAAGTTAGAAAAAAAAAAAAGTTGGTCCAGTCGAATAGCAAAATGGACAGAAAGACCTACTTTGGGAGATACAGGGGGTGATGGTTGTAGCTCTTCTATTTGAACAGGTGGCAAAGATAGAGTCTAACAACACAAACACAAGCGTTACACAGTTAATTGATTTGCTTATTATACTATCCTATCCTATTTATTTTTAAAAAATCCGGTTTTACATTCATTTCTTCCTATTAAAGCATTGTACCTTGAAAAATCTGCCTAATTATAGCAATGTCTTCCAAATACACAATACAACTTTCACTTGTATAATTAAGGCATTACTTAATAACAAATAAATTGAACATACAATGCTGTAATGGAAACAAATTAAACCAGGATGTTTTAACAAACTAATAAACAAAAGTATATTGCTAATTCTTGCATTTAGCAAATCATTGTATTTGTATAAGATTAGAAGTTTACCCTCTGTGGTAATTCAAGAGCTGGCCTTGATGAACTTGATGGGTTTCCCTACAAAAGACAACAAAAATTCAAAATTATTTGTTATAAATGTCTCATTAAGCTAGAAAAAATCGCATGTCAAAAGGAACTCTAATCTATACAGTATTAGTTACAATTAATGAATGTATTTCAACAAATAAGAAGTTGAACATAATAAAAGCTCATCAAAAACCAAAAAGATTATAACAAAAAATATTTTTTCTAGTTGTTTTTAGAAAAATTAAAATTGTAATTTAATTGAAATTGAAATATTTTAATTGTACCTGAATGCGTTCCACAGATGCCTGTTTTTCCATTGTTAATGCAGTACGCAGCAACTTAGCCACTCCTAGGTTTGTGTCATCCTGCAAATATACATCAATAAAACATTTTAATCAAGTCAAAATAACAACTTTGACCTCACTTTGTATATAGCTTTAATCTACAACATTCAGTACCTGTTTCAATTCAATCCTACTCAGTTTACTCTCCTGTAACAAGAATTTATTAGACCACATATCCAACTCAGAAAAACAACATATTGAAACTCACAAAGATAAATGGAAAAGAATCGCACCAGAGTGTAAACAGCATTATGTACAGATTGAACATCTAGAGCAATCACTTTTGTATCCCCACGTATTAAAGAAACCTACAAGTTTTTTTTTAACAAAATATTCCATAAATCAACATAATATTTTACATACAAAACACAAAGAAACTAGCCAACCTTTATCTTGTCGTACCTCCTCTTTTGTAGCAGCAGTAAGTTCTGCAACCTCATCTAAACTACTATCCACACGGTCAATCCTTGTAGATAAATGTCTCTTTGTAGCCTAAAGAACAGAATCAGTAATCCAAATTAATAATAAAAAAATAATAACTAAAACTTGTTTAAACTTTAAATAACAAAGTTTTTAAATAACTTACTGCAAGTGATGAGTAGACAGTGTCAAGCTGTTTAGCTACAGCACTTGTGGCATCAGATAAGCTTCGTTTTGTAGCAAACATCATATCAGGAAGTTTCCAACCCTGTTAATGATACCATATTTGTTAGTTGAAGAAAAACTATGTACAAGTTAAAACTGTAAAAAAGTAAAAATATTAATATATGAGCTTATATTTACCTTCCACCAAACATATCCGTATCCAACAACAACAACAATGATAATGACACCATATTTGTTAGCACCTGCATGAGAAAAAAACAATATATCAAGTATTAGGGAGTAACAAAAGAAACCAATTTTAACATGAATCATTTCATATTAAACCAGAGAATGCACTTCAAATAATAAAAAAAATCAACAAACCTGATGAACCATTAGTGGTCACAATGGTAACAGGTCTATTTGATGCCAGGAGTTGTAGCTCCTGCCTTAGGCTGTTCACCTGTTTAAAGCAAAAAATATAAAACAACAATCCAGTATTTTAAGAAAGTTAACATATCATAATTGTCCAAAATAGACATTCAAACCTGTGCCATTAATGAGTCACTGTGTCTTTTTGGAGTTGATGTAGGCTTATCATCGTTTCCAATCATTTTGAGTACCTAGTAAGAGAGACAATCAATAAACCTTAAATGACGAAATAATAGAAACTAGAAAGAATGATGTTTTATAAAAATACATGATCTTTAACATAGGACAGTAATTAGCTAGCAAAGGGGCTACTACTACTAACCTTTGAGGCACCAGAGAAAACATCATATACGCTTGGCAAGCGTCCTTCTTTAGCAAGAACTGACCCAACAAGGCCTACAAATATACAATCATGCAATTGGTTAGCCCATTTTCCTTTATGTTTTTTCATAGAAATTATGAAAGATACTCTCATCTTCTCCCCTTATTCACTATTCTGATGTTCTTTATCAAATCACAATTATAGAGCTAACAAAAACTGTAGGTTCTGTTAGTGGCTCTTTGGAGAAAACCAACTAGCAACATATACCGAAGGCTACACTGGAAGTTCCTAGTCATCCTATGACTAGATGATTATGCCCAAGAAAAGAAACTGCCACTTTGCATCCTAACAAGGGTTTCATTTTATTTTATTGTTTTTGGCAACTCTCACTTCACCTCTTATACTGTTACAAGAACTGATTCTGTTATTAAAGTACTCCACTACACTCACGCTAATCATCATCACATTCGCATGCCAATTCGATTTAAAACCTAAGCCAAGCTCAAACCCTAGTACCAATGAAAAGAAATTAAAAACAACGCGATTGTATAGTTTTCCTTTCCCACAAAAAGGTTTCATTCAGTGAATCACTCGCAAGAACCAAAAAATTGTAATTAATCATCACCAGTTAAGTACTAGTAACGTTCTTGAATATGGTTGACCAAAAAACTAAGCCGGGGTGATTAGATTAAGAAGAAAAGGTTAACATAACAATCGTGAAATAATACCTGCTCCAATGATTAACGTCAGCTTCCCCAGAGGAAGAGCCATGGTCGGATCGATCAAGTACAAGGTATTATACGAGGACGGTGAGCATTTGTTTTCGCTGAGGGTGAATAAATTAGGAGAGCTTGCAGAACAAGAAGAGTTGAGTCTGATTTCTTGTTCGTTCTTCTAGATAATTAGTCGAAATCGTGGTTCGCAGCTGTTAAGTTATGAAAACAAACCCTAGTTCATGATGGCCTTGCAAGATTGTATTGATGCCCCAACTGCTCGGACCATTGCAGTGACTCTATTCCTTTTCTTCAATTTTTCTTTTTTCTTTTATTATAGAAATCCTCTATTTCCCATTATACCGATATAGTTGCCAATTTACCATTCAATAATAACCAAATGCAGGCCCAACACTTGAAGCCCACTTTGAAGCTTAAGGTGTACCTAGGCTGCCGGGCTAGATGAATCCGGCTTTTGAAAAAAAAAAAATTAAAAAGTTCTTTGGGGCTGTTGGACATGAATTTACCCGAAAAAATTGTAAAACATATTGGTAAAAACAAGCTGTGTGACACGTGAAACGATACGAAGGTATACGTTGTTCATCGTATAACACGAAAACATTAATTTATACACACATTGTCTAACCATTTTTTAATCAAGGAAAACATGCATTTAGTTCTTGTTTATACATGTCTTGTGTCGCGTGTATATATATATATATTTTAGTTCTTCTTTATACATGTCTTGTGTCGCGCGCGTGTGTGTGTATATATATATATATATATATATATATATATATATATATATATATATATATATATATATATGTTTATTTGTGTCGCATCTCACATAAATTTAATTCACGTTTTATATGTGTGTTTAAACACGTAAATTTGTCTTATATGTGTGTTTAAACAGGTAATTTTATGGTCGATACATATAGGACACAAACACAAATTTAGAAATTGTGTTGACACGAATAGACAGTAATAAAGAATTTAGAAAACCGATACACACGAATATATATATATATATATATATATATATATATATATATATATATATATATATATATATATATAGGGCTACGATCATTTGTAACTAGCATCTATAGTGTAACCGTATAACTAAATCTTAGTCATTGGATCAATGAAAAATAAATCATTCTTGAAAGAATATTATTATATTTATTATTATTATTATTATTTTTTAAGAATTCAAATTTCAAAATGTCTTAGGGGTAATTTGGATATTTTGTGTATCTTTATTTTAGGAAACAAACTAATGAAATCCAGATTTTTAGTAATAAATTTATTGTTGTTATTTACATTAAAAACAATTCATTTATTTAAGAATCATTCTAGAAACAATTTTAGGAATTGATTTTTTTCTGTAAAAAACACACATTCTAGGAAAATGATTTCAAATACACAATCTTGACAAAATAGATAAATGTTGTATATATCCTTGAAAGAATTACATTAAAACCGATACATTGTTGAACGAATTACAAAAAAAGTTTTATACATCCTTGAAAGAATTACATTAAACATTGAAACATTCTTGAAAAAAATACATAAAAAAACAAACAAGTTCTTGGGAGATTGCATTCTTGAAGAATAACAAAGGAATAGGAGGAAGATTTGGTGGGTGGTTGTTTGACGTTAGCTTTGTCGATTTTATTTTGTATTCTTCAAGAATCTGAACATCAAATTTTCTTTCAAACAAATTCACAAATACTTGTTGTTCAACATAAATTGAATCAAAGCCCAAGCATAAAAATATTCAATCTTTTTAAATCGATTCAGTTTTTATAAATTAGAAAACGGGAAAAAAACAAAAAAAAAAACATTTTCAGAATTATAATTTGATTTTAGATATTGACCTATTAGAAACAAAAAAGAAAACTTTTTTCAAAATTATAATATGATTTAGATGAAAACAATAATAAGAACATGGTCTAACAGAGTATACATCAAGAAAAAACGATCCAACCCAATCACATTCCATTTTTCCACTTGATAATTTGAATTCTTGAAAAAAACAAGAACATGGAAGACAATGAACATATATTAAGATAGAGATTGTGTTGTTCACGTTATACCTGTGCGATTCATATGAAGAATACCCTTTCTTTTTTGCATATTAACTGATCAAAGTTACTCTCCCGGTGAAAAAAAATTAATGGAAATAAATAAAGGATGCACAATGTAAGATTTGTTCATATAATCACTCCACTAAATCCATAAGAGAACATTATAATCACTCCACTAAATCCATAAGAGAACATTCCACGTACCCAAAACCCCAAATTGAAAAAAAAAAATCAAATTTGATGTTATATAACATGACATGTGAGTAGCAAATTCATTAAAAGCATATAAAGAAAAGAATATAAATTAGTTGTGAATTAGATGAAAATAATTAAAAGTATAAAATATTACATCGATTAGATGCAGGAAATTAAAAAAAAAAAGCAGAAATTCAACCATTTACTGTGAAATCTTACATAAAGGTAGCAAGTAAATTAACAGACCGTCTGTAAAAGAACAGAAAAGAGAGATGAAAATACTTGTTAATCGCCGGAGACATGGTCGTCGGAAACAGGAAAAAAAGTAAGTGGCGGCCTGGTGGTGATGTGAGTGACAGATAGATAAGGAGAGACATGAAATCGGCAACAGAGAAGGAGAGACAATGGTCGCCGATAGAGAGAGTGAGTGAGGACGGAGTGATCGACGAGAGGTTGTAGGCGACGATGTGGTTGGCTTGCCGACAACGATGATATGATGAAGATGAGGGATGAAGGACTTTATTCAACTTCCCTAACTATTAAACGTGATTTTCTCATACCTAAATTAAATGTATTAATTTTTTGGAAATTATAATTAAATTCTACAATTTGACTAATTTGCCCTTTTATGTTTAGTTTAACCTAATCTAAAATTATTGGTCCATATTGTGTTATACAGTTACACAATACATGTCCATTTACATATATATATATATATATATATATATATATATATATATATATATATATATATATATATATGTGTGTATGTGTGTGTTTGTGTGTGATTTCAAAACTATGTGATGTGTGTGTTGTGTATTATATACCTGTTAAAAAATAAAAGTTTGTTGCTTATATAAATAATTAAACCCAAACCAATAAACCAGTTACATATGTTTTATATTGGTAAAATCTTTTTTGATTGATCTTCAATTTTCAAATTATAAGGAAAAGTTGTTTTCCAATTATTCTTTTGGTAAAAAATAAAATAAAAGACCGCAAAAAATCGAACCACACAGTTTCTAAACTTCACAAACCGAACTTGCGGTTTTCAGTTCGGTTTTGGCCAAAAACACATCGAACCGCACCATGTTCACCCCTACATGGTGTTATGCACGTCGAAGTGATAGATCGTGGTTCTGGCTATGCTGCTTGATGTGACATCCCCAAATTTCTCGGCCAGAAAAGACCGATTTAGTATATGCTTTTAAAATAAAATCAGAGTAATCTTTTAAAAGATGTTACGGAATTTGTCCCCAAAACAAAATATGATAAAATTTGTCAAATCATTTCTTAAAGAAATATATTTTTCATTTCATAACAAAACCTCGGGATGTCATGTTCCGATACAGACCAAAAGCATAAACAGTATATTATAAGCCTTACAACAGTTATTTACGACTACTGGCCTATAATCCAAAATCTCTCGCCATCGTCCATCTATGCACTTGTTCCATTACCTGTAATAATATAAAAAGTTGAGTGGGTCAGGCTTGGGAGTCTGATGAGCATATAGGGTTTCAACCTACAAATAATAAATTTATTAATTTCATCAACCAACAATAAATTTATTTATTATGTTTAAACATCAAACAATCAACCCAATTTCTCATCCCCATTATCTTCTTTATTCTTAAAGATCTTAAGAACATTTGTCCTCCATTCATTCATTCCTAAGGATTATTCTAAGGAATAAGCACGAAGTCCATCGCTGCCCGAGATTTATACAACAGGCACTAAGTCCATAGTTGCCAAGGTAACCAAAGGAATAGGCACGAATTCCATCGCTGCCTGAGATTTATATGACAAGCACTAAATCCATAGCTACCAACGTACATCTATACGGTACTAAATCCATAGCTACCGACGTACATCTATACCGTCTTTCATCCCTCATTCTTTATCTACCCATGTTTTACCGAACATATTTGTAGATATAAAATACATATACAGTTTAAAATCTGTATAAAACATTCGTTCATCTACCCATGTTTTACCCAACATTTTTATAGATATAAAATACATATACATTTTAAATCATTTAAAACTTGTATAAATCATTCATTCAACATCCATCTCAAATAAACAAACAATATATATTCACATAGCACGTATTTTATATAAAAAACTTCATATCTATGTGTAAGATGAAAGTGACTTTACACTCACTTGATTTAACGATAATCGGGCAGCACTTCGTTTCTTAAAACGATCGTTTCCGATAAAACCGGGATGTTTTCTCAAAAACCGGGCTTCACGCGGGCATAGTTTCGGCTCGAAAACTCTTTTTCTCGGGATCTTCGGGCTCTCCGGGACTTGCTTATGATGCTAGAATGATAAAATAGGCTTAGGGGTAATTTTTGCAGTATAGAAGAAAATATAGGGTGGGAGAATGGAAGTTTGCAACCTAAAATCGGATGGCATCGGGTGCTATTTATAGTGCCCGAGGCTCAGCATTACGCTGGGCGTAAATATGGTGTACGATGGGCGTACTGCTCATCGGTGCCCTACGCGGGGCGTAAGCCTTCGTACGTTGGGCGTAGGGTGATGTGTGGCATCAGACGTGTCGATGGTATAAGATACGTGTCACATGCGAGGAAGTAGGCAACGTGGCCAACTCCGGATCACACACACGAGTACGCTGGGCGTACTCCGAATTTTCAAACTTCAAAAATTCGTAACTTTCGCATACGAACTCTGTGTTTGACGTTCTTTATATTCACGCGTAGGTGAGACTATGCTCTACAACTTTCGTTTAGACTCCGTCGGCTAATTTTGACTTTATTTTTAAAGTTATATTTTTAACAGGCCGGGACAGGAAAAGTCCGTTAAAAATGCATAACTTCTTCATCCGACGTCCGTTTTCGTCTGTCTTTTTACCGTTGAACTACTATCAACAAGATCTTCGATTATCGTTTAGGTTGTTTCGGCTAAAAATCACGTGATCTAAAATTCAAGTTTCGGGCTCCATACTGCTAAGCCGAAACTTAGAAAAATCATAACTTCTTCATACAAAGTCTGATTTGGGCGTTCTTTTTATGCACGCTCTCGTTTTAACG